CTGATATATGACACACAACTGAGCGCTGAAAACTTTCATGAAAATGCTTCTTTTAATTGGAAACTTTAGCATATATAGACTTGTCAATAACCATTTCACACAAAAAAATAAAAATAAAAAATGAAGTAGATCACACATGTGCATTCCAGTCCACTCTCCTTTACTGCCAGGTTACATCAATGTGGTGCAAACTGTTCTTGTTAACAATGACTGGACTTTTTCCAAACAGACCTCGTATGCTTCCACTTATTTCTATCTTCTTAAATTTCTTTCTTCAGTGTCATAATTTTCTGAGTACAGACTGTTTACATTCTTGGTGAAATTTATTCCTAAGTATTTTTTTGATGGGATTGTTTGCTTAGTTCCCCATTATGATAGTTTATTATTGGTGTATACAAATACAACCGATTTCTGGATATTTATTTTGTATCCTGCTACTTTACTGAATTCATTTATCAGTTGTAGTTTTTTTGTGAAATCGTTACAGTTCTCTACATACAGTATCATGTCATCTGCAAATAATCGTAATTTTACTTCTTCCTTTAAAATTTGGATACCTTTTATTTCTTCTTCTTGTCTGACTGCTTTGGCTAGGACTTCCAATACTATGTTGAGTAACAGTGGTGAAAGTGAACATTCCTGTCTTCTCCCCTATCTTAAGGGAAATGCTTGTAGTTTTTGCCCACTGACTATGATGTTAACTGTGGGTTTGTCACATGTGGCCTTTATTACTTTGAGGTATGTCCCCTCTAGTCCCACTTTGCTTGAAGTTTTTATTATAAATAAATGCTAGTTTTTATCAAATGCTTTTTTGCCTCTATTGATATTATGTCATTTTCAGCCTTCATTTTGTTTATGTGGTATATCACCTTTATTGATTTACCGAGATTGTACCAACTTTGTACCCCCATTACAAAACCTACTTGATCATGGTGTATGACCTTCTCAATGTGTTGCTGGATATGGTCTGCTAATATTTTGTGGAGGATTTTAGAATCTATGTTCATCAGAGATATTGGCCTATAGTGTTCTTTCTTAGTAGTGTTTTTAAAATATTTTATTTATTAATTTTAGAGAAAGAAGGGAGAGAGAAAGGGAAAGGGAGAGAGAGCAAGAGAGTAAGAGTGAGAAGGAAACATTAATTTATTGTTCCACTTATTTATGCATTCTTGTATGCACCCTAGCCAAGGATCAAACCCTCTACCTTATATGTGCCCTGACCGGAGATCAAACCTGCAATGTTAGTACACTGGAGCAATGCACTAAACAACTGAGCTACCCAGCCGAAGCCTCTTTATAATGCCTTTATCTAGTTTTGGAATTAAAATACTGCTGGCCTCATAAAATAAGTTTGGGAGTCTTCCCTCCTCTTGAATTTTTGTGGAATAGTTTGAGAAGGATAGGTTAGTTCTTTGCATTTTTGGTAAAATTCACCCGTAAAGGCATCCAGTCCATGACTTGTTTGTTGGGAGTTTTTTGATTACCGCTTCAATTTTATTAGTTGTTACCTGTCTACTCAGATTTTGTGAATCTTCCTGATTCGGTTTTAGAAGATTGTAGGTTTCTAGGAAATTAACCATTTCATCGAGATTGTCCAATTTGTTGCCATACAGTTGTTCATAATCTTTTTTTACAATCCTTACAATTTCTTTGGTGTCAGTTGTTCCTTCTCTTTCATTTCTGATTTTATTTATTTAGGTCCTCTTTTTTTTTTTTCTTTAAGGGTCTGGTTAAGGTTTTCCGGTCTTGTTTACCTTTTTCTAAGAACAAACTCTTGGGTTTCATCGATCTTTTGTACTGCTTTTTTTTTTAAGACCCTATTTCATTTAACTCTGCCCTGATCTTTATTATTTCCTTTCTTCTACTCACTTTGGGTTTTATTTGTTGTTCCTTTAAGTGTAAAGTTAGACTGTTTGAGATTTTTCTTGTTTCTTGAGGTAAACCTATAATGCTATGAGTTTCCCTCTTAGGATTGGTTTCGCTGTGTCTTACAGATTTTGCATTGTTGTGTCTCTTATACACTTCAGAAAGAATAAAGTTGTTCCTTCTTTGGGTCTCTTAAAGCACCCTACTATAACAGTACCATATAACATCATATTCAATTTACTTTTCTTTCTCTTCTCCCTCCAAAACCAAATACCACTGCAAATGCAATCATTGTGTCCCTCTCTCACTCCTGTTGCTTAGCAAAGGTACTTATTAAATATTGGCCAAATAAATAAACATAATATTCATGCCCACCACAAGAGCCATTCTGGAAAACATTAATACTACTTTGTACTTTTTAATTATTCAGAAAAACTTCAATAAGCACTATCAGATTATGGTTCCTGTCACACTTTTCATGACACTAGTGCAATTTCATTTTTAAGCAAAAGGTACCAATGAGAATCCTTAGCGCTGGCACCAAAAGCAGGGATTCTCAATCCTGACTGCATACAAGAACCATCTAAAAAGCTTTTTAAAATGCTAATGCCTAGGTCCTATCCTCTGAAATCCTTATATAATTGACCTGGGGTGAAACTCTTGACACTTTTTAAAAGTCTTATCTAATCTCAGGATGAAATCCACTGATTTAAAGCAAATTAAACATATTCCTAACATACTAAATTGAAACATGAAGCTCTTAACAACTTCCTGGAACCTAAGACCTGCATAATAGTATTTCAATTGGAAAATGTTTAAAATTCCAGACAACTAAATTAAAAATAAGTATTAAAACATAATTATTTAAGGTCCATGGAAAAAACTAACATTGATGCCAGTTAAAATGATCAAAATATAGCAAAGTGTCTACTATATTTAATCACTGTTCAATGCTCAGGGAAAGATAAATGCAGACAATAACAGTTAAGAAAACTAAGAAAATTTAAAGAGAATCTTGAGAGAATGCTTAAATATGGATGAATAGTGAAGAGAATGCAACAAAAGGGAAAGGAATTAGGGAAGACAACGTGTACGTAAAAAAGCAGAAGATGCTCAATGCAAAGGAGTAGAAAATAGCCCTGCAAAAGTATTCAATAAGCTTTCATTTCCTCCCCTGTCGTAGGTATTATACCTACCATTCCACATAAAACATGGAGGCTCTGAAGCACAAAGCCCAGAGCAAAATGGAGCCTGGAATCAGACTCAGGCCTGCATGACTAAAGCCCAAGTCCTTTTCATCACATCACATTGCTTCACAAACAAAACAGGGAAGGATGGAGAGAGCAAATCCAGGGGCATTAAATGGCACAACCTACCAAAAAAACTAAAGGAGTTCACTGCAGGCTTTTAAGCTTAAAAATAAGGTGAGAGGAAAATGCCATTCCAGAAGATTATTTTGGCAGTAAACAAGATGGATTAAAAGAGAAAGAAGTTAAGAGAAAAGGAGACCACAGACTGCTTCATAATGAACCATGGTACTTAGCAATGTGAAAGCACTGCATTCCCTACTAGTTTTACAAGTTACTTTCTATAAAAATACTTTTTTTTAATAAGATCCACCATATTGTATTAAATACTTATAATTAGGAGACTCTTGATTGTCCATCATAGTGATCAAATAACCAAAAGTACACAAGTAGACAAAAATACCAGATGTTTTCTTATATATAATATTTACAAATCTAAATCTTATTTCACATCTCAATGGAGGTTACAGTCTTAATTAGTCAGCCTCCTTCCAATCTTTTACTCTCCACTTTACCCTTAAAAAAAGATTCTCAATTTGCTTTGCTAATACATCATATCTGAAGTTTTCCTGATCAAGAATCCAAATAGTTCCTTATTAACTATAACAAATCCAAACTTTTGTGCCCTCCATATGACCCCTCTATCATTTCACTTAATCTTCTGTTTTCTCCAAAAGGATCATTCATGCCACCCTCCTCACTGTGCCACAAAGTAACACACACTACCCTGAAGTTGTTTGACTTATTTCCCAAACTGGAATACCTCTTTAAATTCTCTCATTCAACTTCCAACCATCCATCAAGGCCCAGTTCAAAATCTATTATTCCCCACAAAGCCCATTTCTAAACCCTACAACACTTAAAATGGAATGCAAACTGATGACTGACAGGCCATGTGTGAAATTAATACAACTTTATTTCACTGACAAAACTTAAAGACTGGGAAATATCACTTTTAAAAAACAACCTGTATTTCCAACTTTCCTTGAAAAAACTGGATGCTCTGGCAACACTGGAATCATATAGTGACAGAGCCACAGTGAACTGTAGCTGAGGTGCAGATAACCCTTTCTGAATGGTTCTTACATCTTAAAGTCAGGAGATAACAATGAACTGCCTGATTTCTGACTGTACCTGTGGTACTGCAATCATTCAAGAAATACATGACTGCCTATTAGGCACTGGAGTTACAAAAATCAACAAAAAAATAAACCAACCAGACAAATACAGTCCCTCCCTCACCGCCTACCCTAGTCAGAAAATCAAAGAGACAAGCAATTAGGAGACATGAGATGCGTGCTATGATGAGTGAAGTAGAGGGCCCTTAGCCCATGGCTAGGGTACCTAACTCTGCCTATGCGAAGTCAGAAAACACTCCTCGAAGAAAATGACAACTAAACTGATCTTTAGCACGCACAGAAATTATCGAGAAAGAGGTCAGGAAATACAAATGCCACAGAGAGAGAGAAAAGAACCTTTTCAAAGACCCTGAGGGAAAACAGAGTATTTGAGGAATCAAAATCAGTTCAATATGCCAAAATCTTCACCCCACCTTACAGCAGGTGTCAGAGAAAGGCTCAACTGAAAGTGCTGGAGGGAAAAGCCAAGTGTTAAGGTCAGTAGATGAAAGAGAATTTCCACAAAGTGACTGAACATGTAAAAGAGTTCGTTAGGCAAGGACTAAGGTTTCAGAGAGCACAGCTGTGTTGAGGGGTGAAATGCAGGAAAAAAGGAGGGAGAAGCAGTGATAGCCTAAATCAAGGGCGGTAAAGCACAAAGCAGAATGGGTATGAGGGTGTAGTAGCATAGAAGACCAAAGGGGCTTACATCTTGGGCGGTAACCAAGGATAACGGGGATGTGAAGCATGGTAGTTTTGGCAGGCCACAAGTTTGCCAAGAGAATTAGTCCCAGCGGTCCCCTGGTGGACGCGGAGGCACTCAGGCCTCTCAAAATTCAGCTGTGTCCTGGGTGGATTGCACTTCGGTCTCTGTATAACACATCGGCTTCACTCTGGATTGTGCAGGTTCCAGAAACGGCTCTGGGTTCCAGGCTGCTGGCACGCAGGCTCCCATGGAGTGGTTAGAGGCCTGGTCTGTGTGTGCTGGTGGGTAGAAGTTAAGCATAAACTACCTTACATTATTTCCTGATTTTTCTGTAGGAATGATGGGTCTGCATACAGCCTCTTGGGGAGGGGGGAAAAACACAGTGTGTGCCTATTATACAATTACGGGAAGAAAAAAGATGCCAAGAAGTTCAACATTTGTCCGTGCCAGTACTCAAGTCACTCCTGAATCCAAGTCTCCCAATTAAATTAAGATAACCGCCAGAAAAATGTCTGTTTCACACTTTTTTGTAGCTCTCAAAGTGCCTAACACCAAACTGGGTACGTCGAACACATTCAGTGAATTTACCGACTTCCTAACTGGCCTAGGGTAATTTAAGTTACCTAGTTCAGGCCCCTTGTTGGGCACTACGGCGCTAAAAAGAGGCAAACTATATCTCAGAGTTAACACTCTCTTATTCCAACTCCACTGCGTCTGTCCACCCTCAACCGCAGAGGCATAACTGTTGCACGATTCAAATGCAGCGGAAGACTCCAAGTCCCGCCACGAAAATGCCCGCCCGCCGACCGGTCCGCCCATCGCCACCCACGCTAGTATCCCGTGTCCCGGTCCACCTCTCACAAAGGTAAAACACGCTCACCAACTACGGCCCACGGGGAGACACCGTAAATGTGGTAGCCCGCTCGTCGCCGTTCTCCAGGCGGGTACTTCCGGCGCGCGCAAGACGTCAGCAAAAGCGCCCGCCTCTGGGCCCGCCTCCGGCGCCTGTGTCTAACGAGAGCCGGGAGAAGGCATTGCTTGCCGAACCTATCTTCTCGTCTTCGGTGCCTGACCTTTCCCAGTCCCCGTGATGCCAAAGCTACAGCGAGGGCCAAGGAATAGTCGGGGTTGAGCCCCAGCCGAGCTCTTCCGATCTCCCGGGCCCGCCCCACCTGAAGGTAAACGCCTACTCAGCTGCGGCCTTTCCTCCTGCGGGCCCCTCCCCAAACCCGGCTGCCGAAACGACTAGCCCTTTCTCCAACCGCCCTTTTTATTCCAGTGCCGTTACCGTTGGCTGCTTTCGCATTCTCACCAAAACGGCTAACGTGTAAGGAGTTTCAAGTGGGAAACTCTTCCAAGCGACCTATCGCTGTTGAGTTTCTGAAGTTGTCTAACTCCCGCAAAGCATCCCAAGTATCCCCTTTCTTGTTACTTCGCGAATTGGCACGCCTTGGAATCTATATTTTGCTATTTGTGATAGACTGTGCTCACTTACTCAATACATATCACACACTTTTTAAGTCGAAAAATTTGAACCTGGTTGAACCAGATATAATTTTCAGATAACTTGCTGACCTTGTAAAACACGATATGAAAATTACAGATTATATTTGTAAACTGAAAGATACATATACAGATCGATAGCCTTCAAGGCATCAAAACCTATTCGTATGATAAACTGGGTCATTTCATAATTTAACACTAGTCTGCAAAATTGGTGATTTAAAAGACCTTTATGTGCATCAAAATGGGGGGCTAAAATTTCCTCTTAACACCACTCCGGAGAAAAATATTAAGACAACCAAAAAGGTACCCAACCATAGTATTAATGAAAATCAATGGCTTAGGTTCTTTCTGAGGTCCCAGGCTCTTTCTGCTGTGTGTATGCAATGTATTAATGCATATTTAAAAGCACTTTTGCTCTTAGACTTAGGGAAGTTTAAGAGTAGCCTCAGAGTTTTTCCTTCATCTGTCAAAACTCTCCTCTCCATTCACACAATAGACAATGAAAGAGTTAGTGTGAAGAATCTACTTGCAATAGGACCAGAAATCTATTTAAAGTGGTGTCTGGAGAAAACGAATTCCTTAATTCACCCACCTGGAGTCACTGTTCTTAACTATTACTATGAAGTAAGGAAGGTGTGTAAATCTGGCATAATTAAATCAATGATTGCCTGTATTGGTTTTACTTGGAATGAAGAATACCTGGTTTAGGTTGCTTTTGGGTCTATTTTTCTTTTTTAGGAATGAGTGGTGGATTGGCCCCAAGTAAAAGCACAGTGTATGTATCCAACTTGCCCTTTTCCCTAACCAACAATGACTTATACCGGGTAAGTTTTAGTATTAGTACTGTTATCTTCTGAATTCTTTATTTGAGACATGGTTGGGTTTATTTTTTTTATTGTTCAAGTACAGTTGTCTCCATTTTCCTGCCATCACTTTTCCCTGCCCCTCCCACCCCATCAAAAATTCTCGATGAGTACATTACAGTGCACTTAAACTATTAATACCAAAGATCTCTATTGCATACATGAGTAAGTTAAAATAAATTAGACACCCATAACTTCTAAAGAGAATTTGCAGTGCTTTTATAGAGAATAACAAGATCTTTATGAACACAGAAGACACAGATAGCATAATGAAGTGGGAGCAACTTGTGGTAGGCTGATTTTTCCTGCTTGCTTACTTGGCTTTTGAAACTGGTAGTGGGGTAGAGGTTTTGGATGCAAGGGCTAATAGAAACAAATCTCTCTTTCCTAACCCTCAAAATGAAAGTATGTCTTAATTTACATATATGGCAGAAACTTAACAGTTTAATAAATTTTGTTCTCAATTTAGGATAGAAGTGATTGAGGGGGAAAAAGTCCCTTCTGACATCTTTCACCTGTTTACCTTACACAGAACAAAGTTCCTGCAGAGCCTGTCCTGCAGATGGGTAGCTGAGAAAAACTGGAAGGAATGACATGAATCTTTTCTTTCAAGTGTACCCTCTTCCCTCTGCCACTTTAGGCAGATGTGTAGGTAGAGAGACGCCATACAGATGATACACATAGACCTTGATTAATTACTTAATTAAGATAGTTTTTGTCCCAAAGAACAGAGGAAATGAACTGTAGCTTCCTTGTTACCAAATAGAGACATTTCTGTATTTATTGAATACTTAACAGTATGCTGAGCATTCTTAGAGATGATAGGAACACATCAGCAAACAAAAATGAAAGTCCCTCTTGGCATCCACAATATAAAAATAGACAATGTGAAATATTAAAAAAATCAAATGATGTTATTTGTTAGTTACAAAGTTAATGCTAATATGTTAGGTTTGAGGAGAAAAAATAAAGCAGGGGAGGAGAGTTATCAAGTGTTAGGTTGGGAATGGAGGTGAAATTTTACATGGGTCGTCTAAAGCCTTATTGATAGGTGACTTTTCATTAAAGACCTGAAGGAAGGAAGGCAGCTGTGCATGCATCTAGGGGATCAGCATTTCAGGCACAGAGTACATCAAGTAGAAGAGGGGGAGCGGTCAGAGGTAAGCCCATGCAAAGGTGCTTTATAAGGCCTGTATAGTTAATGGTAAGGACTCAGAGAAATGAAAAGCCTTTTGAAAGTGTTATATGGAAATCTGTGTTGGTCTTCAGAATTCAATACAGCTAACACTGCAATCTAGTTATATCACATTTCAGCATTTCACAAGTTAATCATACAACTCAAAATTTGTTATTATTAATTGCATATATTAATGTATTCTAAAAGGCTTTTCTAAAAAGCATTATATAATAGGAACTATTGGTATATACTGGTAGGTGGTGGCTGAAATGAAGAAATAGGTGAGATTGCTTAGGGTGAAGAGGAAAAAGTAAAAAAGAAGAAAGGACCAACTGTGAAGTTCCACCAACAGGGATGGGAAGAAGGAGACTGATGGGAATGGATTTTTCATTATAGAAGCTTTCTTGTTTTATGCTTTGTTTTATAAGCAGTCTGAGGATATGTCTTCTGAATCAGTGACTGCTTGATTGGCTGAGGGTAGGCTAGGAATAGTGATATTGCACAACATTGTTATTTGAAGTACAAGGTTTTTCTGGAGCTATGGTGGATTTGATAATTGCCATGTATATACTACAGGAAACACAGTAGCTGTGCATGTGTGTGCCTTCAATCTACCACACATGGAGAGTGTTAGTTTTTCCTCTGTATGTACTGATTTGTCAGAAATTTAGGAACTGAGGCAGATAACTCAGACTCCAATAACAACAATTAAGAACATTATTCTAGTCACTGAAAAAATACATTTATATTTTTACATATATATATCTTCTAGGGTCTGCCTTATAGACTAAAGGCTGAAACTTTTCATAAACCATAACAAAAACTGGTCAGTGTATACAACCTGAAAACTTAATGTTTTTGTGTGATTTTAAATTAAATTGTAAATTACTGTGGTATTTTGTTTCAGATATTTTCCAAGTATGGCAAAGTTGTAAAGTAAGTATTCACACAAATTTTGAAATTTAATTTAAATGTTTATCTGGTTCTGGCTGTGTGGTTTAGTTGATTGGAGTATCATCTCATACACCAAGGGGTTGTGGGTGCAATTCCCTGTCAGGGCACATACCTAGATTGTGGGTTCAGTCTCTGGTTGAGACTCATATGAGAAGTAACCAGTTGATGTTTCTCTCTCATGTTGATGTTTCTCTCTCCCTTCCTCTCTCTAAAAAGCAATAGAAACATGTCCTCAGGTGAGGATTAAAAAAAAATGTGTATCTGAATATATCACTTCTTGGCCTTTCAGCTAAGATCAAGTGTAAAAGTTTATCTGAATTTACTTCTCCATTTATTTATAATGGAAGTAGATTGACTGTTTTTTACAAAACACTATTTGATATAACAAAGTAAATAAAAATACTGCTGTTAACATTTTTACATATATTTAAGCCATTTTCCTATGTACATAAACATATATAAACAATTTTTTTAAGATTCAATTCCATATGTGCAATTTTGCTGTTTTTTAGCTTGACATTATATGATAAGTATCATCCCATGTACTTTAAAGATATATTCTCATATTTAATGATTTCATGATATTCATTTATATGTCATAATTTATTTAAACAACATAATTTCTTACTAGAAGATACATTATCAAGTATACTATAAATGGATTATCATTTGTGAAACAAATGTAAGTAATATTTAGAATATTATTAGAGTGTAAAATGTAAAAAATTTTAATGATTATGCGAAGTGCTTATGAGACTAATAAATAGAAAACATTCTCTGCATTCATAGAACGCTTAGATATCATTGGAAAGACTGAAAACATACAGAAATGGTAGGGATGATAATATCAGTTGGGACTGAGATAAAGGGAACTTGAGGTTCTCGTACTTAATTCACTATTTTAAATCACTTAACTATAATATGGGGCAGAGAAATAAAAGCAAGATATTCTCATTCTAACTATCTTATAACCTATGTATACTCTGGTATAAATTTTAAATCTTTTAAAATCTCAAGAATTTAGAATCTATTTACCTTGACTAGATTTTCTTCTAACTTTTGATAAATGGATGTTAAACAGTTGAAGTTCATTTGCATCCTGAGGTTAATTTCTTTTAAAGTTACTTCTTTATTTAAGAATCAAAACACTAATAATGAAAAAAACTAATAACGATGATATGTCACGTTGAGCACATAAATATGCTAGTCATTGTTCTAGTATTTTTATATATATTATTCTATTACCTTTTAAGGTAAATACTGTTATTATCCTGATATTATAAATGACAAAAATTTACAAAATTTTTTAGTAAACCTAAAATTATATTGCTATTTTACAGTGGAAACAAGATTTAAATCCAACAGTTTGATTCCAGAGACTACTCCCTTAACCCTACCATTACATTTTCTTATTTTATCCCTGTCTGTCAGAAACTCTAAAT